CTAACCTTCGCCACTTATGGCGCCGGCGCGAAATCACTTTTGCCCTGAAGGGTAGAGTGTACAATGCAGCAGTACTTTCGACCCTACTTGTACGGTTGTGAAACCTGGCCGCTTAAGCAGCGGACCTGAAGAGTCTAGTTACGTTCGACCACCGGTGCCTTCGCTAATTAGCTCACATCTGGTGGAACACCGAGTGAGCACCGAGCGTGTTCGACGCCTTGTTTACGGCACAGAAAAAGGAAATGAACCGCTCAGCACCGTTATTTCACGTACCAGGCTACGATGGCTCGGAAACGTGTTACGCATGCCAGCCTACCGACTTCCGCGACATGTGCTGTTTGTGCACAGGGAATGTAGATGGAAGAATAGGAGAGGTGGCCAAGCGATGCCTTGGTCGAGAGGAATGAAGGGCCTTACTTCGAAGCTGGCCTCAGTTAGAGCGTCTCGACTCCCTGGTTGTGGTCCGAAATACGATGAACACGACTGGCTGGATACACTTGTAGATATGGCTAGGAGCCGACCTCAGTGGCGTTCGTGTGTGAGCTTCTTTGTCTCACACAAACCTACTTAGCCTCCCCTCCAAGCACGATCTAGTTAGTTAGCCTTTTATAATTCTGCATAATATAATTTTTTTGGGTGCACAGCAGCCGGATGGTAGCTTACCGGAACGATGCCATCCCGTTACCGGTAGCTCAGCCAGCTTTCACCAGTTGCTTTTTTCCTCATTTGTTCTTTAATTGCGGCACAGTAGCTGAGGTGTTCCACAACCTCTAGCTAACGTGTATGATGATGATGATGATGTTGTTAGTTTGCGAATGAACAGATAACACGCAATGGTACCATCTCGCAATACCAGTCTTCTTATTGTCTTATTTAGAACGAACATAGACGTTTGAAGGCAAATCGAGTTCACTGTCAGTACGACTGGTACTCAGGTCGGACACTAGGTCCACAAGAATTGTGAAGCCCAAATGAGTAACACTGCACAGCACGGTCGTACTGGACGAACGAACATGTTCCCATGCTTTTGAGCTCCAAGCACTTTGTGGATACTAGCACGCTTGTTAACGTACGAGGTTCGAATTAAGTTCCGTCCTGAGTGTTAAAACTAGGATGCCGATGGGCTCTCTCGACTGCTACTCGACAAAATTGTAAACAATGATGATGCCATCAAGAGGTTATTGGTGCATTCCCTGAGCAGTTAAACAATCTCAGCTCAGACAAAGGAAGAATTCCGAAAAGTGACGCAGGAAGAGTACATACTCTGCCACATTCAGAGGGTTTCAGCTAATACAGCTGGCCATCAAAAAATACAAAGATCACAGGGCGAGTCTCTTCTGTATTACGTAGTTGTGGTCACAAACATTTCTATTTATACCTTGGATGTTTAATTGGCGGTGTAAAATTTGGGGCTCCACGAAGCCATGGATGTTAAAGCTCACGCTACATGTCCCGAAGGTCACCTTAGCATCGTTCACACGAAAAGTAAGGTTAACGGATGCTTCTGGGGACTCAGAAAGTCACACAAAATAAAAAAACTGGTTCGTGACTGCTCTTTATGTCCAAGTGCAGACAAGTGTTTAAAGCCGGTTTTCACCCCTATACAACCCATTGATTATCCTATGCGACCGTGGACCAAGATAGCATTTTACGTCATGGGTCATCGTAGCTTAGCGCCTCAGACCCAACGCAACGGTTTAGTGGCCACATGCTTTACGGCAAATGGCCGGAAGTCCACTTTTGCCGAGAGGTGAATATTGCCAGCGTTATTCGATGGATGAACTACATGTTCTTCCGTTTCGGAGTACCGAGGGAGATAGGGACAACGGCCAGGATTTTACAAGCCAAAGTTTCTTTCGTTCTTCCAAGTTCACGCCATCGGACACTCATGTACAACTACGGATAATCCAGCGGAAACGGCGTTGTAAGGCTTTACAATCGATCCTTGAAAGTGACTATCTAGCTATTCGTTTTTATGGCATGCGTTGGAAAGTTGGAGTTATACAAGCATTGTTTGTTTACCGAACTGCACACCACCGCGCCACAGACAAAACGCCAGTTGAACTAAGACTTGCTCTTGCCTTTCGGACAAACTTTAATGCCGCACTTCCGATTCTCGAAACTAATAACTCCGACGAGCTAGGTCGTCGCCATCACTATTAGACCACCCACCAGAAGCTTACTACTCCGATCTAACCCGGAACATTTGTGCAAAATGAAAATAATACTGTGTCCAGAGGACAGTCAACGTTATCGGATCTGAGAAGAATAAGGCGCGCATGTGGAACAGGTACTTAATGACTGGAGCTTGATCGCACAGTCAAGGCACGGAGGTTATTCACAATTAGCAGACGAATGGAGCATGTGCCAACGTCCTATACTGACGAAACTACGCAATGCACGGAGCTACGCCAGACAGGCCGAGGAACACGGAGACCGAAATGGTTTTAACGCTCCATATGACTAAGCGGAAAAGCTATGTTCCGCACTCCATGGCGCTAGTCTAGGCAGACACTGCCTACGTGCACATAAACCCAGACACGCGTCATCATCATCGTCATCATCATCAGCAGCACCACCATCATCATCGTCATCATCAGCATCTTCATCATCATCTTCATCATCATACACGTTAGCCGAGTTTGTGAAACGCACCTCAGCTAATGTGCCATAATAAAAAAGTTAGAGATTAAACCTTACAGCCTACAAAGTTTAAAATGGACATGATGCTAAAATCACATTATGCTTTGGGTTTAGTTTGTCCAACCAAATATATTAATCATCCTAAGGACCCCGGTCAGGCAGTCGGGAAATACCAACCGACACCAACTTATAACGGACGGACTTCATCTCTATAGACCAAGTCATGGCTTGGCCTCCCCTCCTCTTCTTCCATTCAGATCTCGGGAGCGCAAACAAGGTTGGACGAAGGGGTCGGTGTGCTGACATGCGCAAGACGTGACCTAGTCCTCGGAGCCTGTTACGTGATGTAATGGTGCTGAGCCGTTCACTGGCTCTTTCTTCACCAGATATGAGACTCGGAACGCGCACACGGTTCAAGCGCTGTTCTCACCAGACATGCTCGAAAGTAACTGGCCTCTTTATGTAGGCTGATCTAATGGGCCAAGTTTCGCAACCGTCCAGGAGGATTGAACGGTCGGCTGCATACGTGCACGCAGAGCTGCTTCCCCGTTGGTTCCTTCTCTACCTGTCTCGCTACCTGTATCCAACCTAGTCAGACACCGGTTGGAGTATAGTAGTTTATTTGCCAAACGGCCGCTCTTATTTCGGCTCTTGCTTGTGACCTTTCGTATACAACACTAACCGTCTTGCATACCTCCAATAATTAAAATATGTGTAGGTTTCAACCGAAATCCATTGTTTTTAAACTTATGCATCTTTCACGCTGTAGACATGTTATAAGCGCAATTTGATTGCATCCACCACAAATTCCTTACTTGTCCCTTTCGCCTCTTACGCGGTGTGTCGATGTCCAGCAGGTCGCACAGATTGCTCAATTCCTTCGAATTTTGCTGTGTTCATCTTAAGTCATGAATAAGCGCGTCATTCCTCCATCGTTTGCGTGCCTAGCGCATACGCTTCGTTCGCTCGTGGCTATTTCAGCTATTTGGGTCGTTATTGTACGTGACGTGTCAACCGATGCCATCTGTATTTCTCTCTGGTACTTTCACATTTGGTAATTTGCATCGGCAGTGGATGCCGATGATCACATTTTTATCCGGCAACACATCTTTGCATACAGTTTCCAATCACGACATTTTCTACTGATAATTTGCTCATTTCTGATAAAACTATGCTCGCTGTGCCTATTTGATAGTGTCGCGTTTCGTAGAGAATAACCGACTTATTTACTTAAAAACAAGGTCATTTGTGATCGACAACTAGTCAGCCTTTGGTCAATCGGTGCGCCTCGCGCTACCATAGTAAGTGCTGATTCGGCGTCAGCTCTCTCTGCATGCCTGAAAATGCAGGGTCGCTGATCGCGTAGCAAGACGATGAACGACCCATTGGGGTTGGCTTGATGGGCGGTGTTCAGTAAGTGCTTTTTGATTGTCGAGGCAGCTCGATTTCTCCATTCGCCATACTCTGCTATCACCGACCCCATCTAGCTGCGTAAGTTCAAACGGTGCACCCGACATCGCACCACATGCTTGACGGGAACAACATGCCTCATGTATCCCAACAAGTTGACTTAAGTGCCACCTTTTCTCCGGACTTCAAATCCAGAGTGTTGAGTCAAAAGCTAATGGTAGGGCACCTCGAACAAACCCCACTCTTGGAATGGTCAGCTGGAGAGTACCATCCGCTCTGTCTACTCCATGGCAATGCTCCCACTTGAACAATGAACAATGAACTTATACGGATTAATAAGCGTTGCTTTACAAGTCCCGTTGGCTAGCTGATGTGAATATCGAAATAATAATGATACTACTAGTGGTAAAACGGTTAGTACGTTAGATATGAAAATAAGGACTTATAGTTTACTCCTTTGTAGTCCTGTAATCCGTTTAGATTCACAGCCCCCACAGTTAATATCTAATAAAAGCCTGGCAAACTCCCGGTGTAGGATGTAGAGGTTCCTCTTTTCCCACTTAATTTTCTTCCTTCACAGTCTATCTGGAGGACGACTGCCGCTGAGCTTAATACATATAAGCCGTCTATTAAACCAAGAGTCCCACTTCACATTGATTCTTTTAACATCCGCACGCTGGGTCAGATCAGTCAACAAGCAAACCTAACTCTCAATCTTCACTTTCTTAGAAAACCTGTGCAGCGTTATAAGTTAGATGTAGGCGCGTTCATCTCAAATGTTTGTTTAGGTCCTTTGGCTTTAACATCACTTTTCCTAACGTACTTTATTATTTTCTTATCTATAATGTCATTTCTGTTGTAATGCAGTAAGTCCCCGGCACAAATCGTTGGTGCGCTTACGTCGTTGCTACCACCTCGCTTCTTGCATACTCCGAGTTACTTCGACTATGTTACAAAAACCTTGTAGTAACGGTGATTAAGATGCATCTATCCATTATTATACTCACGTAGTTGACTCCATTTTATGATGTATTATACAATCAAAACTTTCTAACGCTGCTCAGCCTTTAAATGATAGTTTACAGTTGATGTTAGACAATAAAATCGTGCCGACAGCCTCTTCCTAATTAACTTTTATTCCAAATCAGACACCGAAATTTATCTCATTGACCGGAACGGGAAAAGGCGGGCATCCGGAGATGTGTTTGTTCCATTTAACTCTCACGCTAAATTATCTTGCACAACGAATGATACCAGCGGGAAGTTGCTGTGGGAGCGTCAGGTTCCGCATCGGCACACATTCGTTCCCGTGGAGGAATCGCCTTTCGTCTCAGTCGAACAGAGCAGAGACAATGAACTGAACCTCCAGTTAAGCAAACTGAGACTCAGTTCTCCTGTGACCTACCGGTGCCGTGGACCATCCTCAGTACAAGCGGTTCAACTACAAGTTGTTGGAGGTAGGATTTGCGTGGAATAAATGTTTTCCGAATAACTTTTAGCTATTGGCTCCTCTGCAGATACTGTTCCCATCAAAAAAAGAATACAGCCAGTTGGAAAGTACCAGTTTGTGATAAAACATATAGATATGCGAGCCCAACCGACACTACGTTGCCATTTTGCTGTTGGAATGGACGAAACGAATCATACCTCGATAACCTGGAGAGGAGGATTGTATGAATCGAATCCAGAATTGTACGAAAGCTCGGAACACATAAACGGGGGAACTACTGTTTCTAGCTCACTGAAGATTTTGAAGATAGGTAAGCTGTACTTTTCTTTATCAGCTATGATATACCGGCAATGAATGTGAATTCATGAAAAACGCACATTCGATAAATGCTTTGTTAGGAAAACATAAATATCAGTAAAAAAATCATCCCGCAAGCCTCTTCAGAAGTTGAGAATTGTGCTGACAGTCGAATGCTACAATCCGCCTTATCATAAATCCCTGCTCAGTATGATTAGATACTAGACTCAAACTGCCATTACCGAAGTAACGTATGAAACTGCAGACAGCTGCGCCAGTTTTGTCAGCTCTGGATGCTGTATACCGAAATACAAATTAACTGTTACTGCACCCCATAAAAAAGCCAGACATAACTTTTCTCAGTGATTTCAGTCCATTGTTCGACGCACAGTAACATTTGCAAGCAAATCTCTGTCACACGTACAAAGTCAAACACCTAAACGATAAAAAGTTGTCGGAGTGCATGAACATCGTTAATTCAGCAGTTAAACCAACTGCGGACGAGTATCTGAACGTGGTTGCGGCCAATCCCGAATTTTAAATCTTTCGAGTCAGCAAGCACCACCCGAACAAGCATCCAAAACTATTTATTAGTGTGCGTTTTCATACCAGCACTTAACCATTCTAATGTTACCTCGCTCTACTTGGTGAAGCATTGCAGCCGATACAGGTCGGGTTATTCGGTTGCAAGCCAATGGAAGCGCACTATCGTGAATTGCGTAGAGCGACATTAAGCTCGGACACCGTGCAACCTGAAGGGAAATAGATTTCAGTAACTTATTAACACAATCTTTTGCCTGTAAGGTGAAGATGAGTTGACAGTTGGCTATAAAATCCGTCTTGCTGTACCCTGGCTTTCCTGCACATGCGGTAATGATAATAAGTATCGCTTTTGCGTGCTGTAAGAAACTTGCTAATTTCAGGAATTTTTGTTTTACGGTCGATTCCTTTGAAGTTCCGAATAAAGTTGCACATAATGTTGGGCTTGGCACACCACTGCCCATCGGGTTACACATTTAGTGGATATGGTGTGAAAATGAACGGCCTAACTCAACTTAGTCAAAAGTGTCTGCACTGATATCTCTAATTTAAACGCGCTGCTTGGGTATGGGGTCTTGGTCCCTATTATCGACGTTTGATGTAGTGCATGCCACCCCTTGAGACCATGGTAGCTTGACGGGAAGCATGTGAACGAAGTCTAGATGCAGCAAGGCCTTTGCAAAGATAAACCTTGAGGCTTAGTGTACCACGGGTTCAGAGCTTAAGTAAACTCTACCAGGGACAAGTACGGTTGGCGTTTAAAATACCTACTATAATTAAGCCCATAGAACACACATTTTGTATGCATAAATGCTGATCGAAGAAACTCATCAGACCCGGAAGTGTAACATGTCGACTTCATTGGCGTTATCCCGCTGAAATCATGCAGTTGCGAGAAATGTGTCAGACAACACTCAGATAATAAAACAAGTTCGAGCCGTTTTCGTCTCCCCCGTACAGCGGAAATTACATAACAGTGGCATTGGTTATCGCAGTATTGAATAGTGTGGTTGCGAATTCGATATATTCTGTTGCGTATGTCTATTCGTCCCAAAGCATCCTTTTCCATATGTGGATATAATAACCTAGACAAATTGATTGTGTTGATTACTAGCCGAAAATAGTGAGAATAAGTAAATGTGCGTGCTACGTACCAAATTCCCTCACTATGAGTTCGACTCCGATTCGCACGCATTGAGTAAGCAGATCATGAGTGGGTTACCGGTGAACTTCTCTGGCGGTTTCAACCGTTTGACGAATTTAAGCATACTAAAAAATGATGTGGCTTTGGTTAACATGGCACCATTAATCACTATGAGTTAATACTAAGCTTTTGATCACACATTTAAATAGTGCGATGCTCTTAGAAGAAACCAGTTTATTTAAAGGCATGTTTGCAGTCTACTCGCGTAAAAATTCACGTGTCACTTGTTATTTCATCACCGCCCAATTTGGACTCCACAACTGCGCATCAACATATAATATCACTGCTTTGTGGTGTACCAATTGAAAAACTGGTTTCCTCATTAGACTGGCTCTTAACAGAACCACGTGCGTTTTAAATGTCTGGGAGGAAGCAGTCGAAATCCGTAGCATCATTTGAGGACGCTAGTCAAATTGGTTCAGAAATTTTGTACACATTAATTTTTTCCCCTTTAGTACTGGATCCCCGTATCTTTGACCGTTACGAATGTGAGCTCAAAGTCTATGGAAAGCCAGTTAAATTGTTCGAGGTACAACTGGTCGGTGAGTTTTTCTCGGATATTACACTTACTATTGTTAGAACTTTTTAACATCGTACATGAACGTACGGTTATATTCTAAAGGTACAACGGTAGCAGACTCTCGTTCTTGGTGAAATCACAGTGTTGCTCCTCACTTGGGTTAAACCCCTGGTTTGTTTCGATTCTGGAGGTGGGTCTTTAGAGCTGTGGCTGGAATCCATGATAACGAAATGGCCAGTTGACGCCTATAGACTATCGAGTTCTACAGGCACCGACTGTCACATTTAACAGGAATCCCCTTTCGGGTTATAGCGCAAAAGCGCGCGTAGATTGTATTTACTTGGAATTGCATCGCAATCCGGGCACGCAGCAGACCTACAAAATGCAAAAGTTATGATTAATTCTATTTTTGCTGATACTTCAAAGGAACACCAGCTGAGCAATGGTTAATGATTTATGAGTAAAAACCAGGGGATTACTAGTCCCGTAGAAAGGTTGGAATGAAAACAAAAAAATGGCAGTAGACATGTCAATTATCAGTTAAATTGGCCACGGATTCAAAAGCACAGCTGCATAACGATAGTGTAAAGTAGGAATTGAATGTGAGTCCATAAAGCAATATGGGGCACAGTTATAGTCAACTTAATCCGCCAGTAACAGTAGGAACGAGAAGGAAAACGCACACTCGCGTGCCGCTTACTTTTGGTAATGAAAATGACTATAAGTATATTTCTCCTGATGCAAGAAAATGTCTCTAGCCGCACAAATCAATTGCTTCGAAGGTATCCATGCTCTTGTATGGGCGACCTGCATAGATGGATTAAAGTGGCTTTCGTTTCATGTTGTTACACTCTGGTGGATGGTTGATGCGAAAGCCTAGTTTTGGAAGTATTGGTGTTTAGCTGCTTTTGTGCCCCTCTTTAAATAGTTCACCGAGAGATGTTTTCCATGTAAATATAGTGATTATGTTATTAAGAACAAGGTATTTGGAGAGTCTACTATGAATTTTCCTTCAAACAATTTCTTGATGCTCTGGCCACCGCAGAGGATAATAAACGGTGCCCTATCTGCTGCATCGAGCAGGGTGGATAGGGGTTTAGATGCTACTGCTCAAGCCTTCCCGTCTTCTCATTCCCCCTCTTACGCTTTTTCACTCTTACCGTCCCATTCCAACTTCACTTATATCCCCCCAGTTTCCAACCCCCCGATTCTTGGCCCTCACCCAACATGCTTTGCTAAGCATTTACCTTCCAATTTCAAATCACACGTGAACGCGGAGCGTCACTCCTCTCCTGTCGACAAGCCCATGTCCAACCAAGCGGTCCAATCCAGTTCATCGGCTTCCATTTGGAGCCCTCGATCCTCCTTCAGATTGGCATGCCTCAATGTACGCACACTGCTACAAATCGGTCAACAGGCAGCACTTGCCCGAACATTGGAGACCCTCTCGATCGATATCTGCTGCTTATCAGAGACTCGCCTGCAAGACCCGAGCACTGTGCTCACTCTGCGATCCCCTTCAGGGGAAGCAAGCAGTATTTTCTCCTTGAGCCTATCTGGTGACGATGCAGCTTCGAGCACCGGCCAAGCCGGTGTTGGTATTGCCCTGAGTCCCCGGGCTGAAGCTGCTCTGGTTGATTGGATTCCAATCAGTAGCCGGATGTGTGCGGTCCGATTGGCTGGCTCGTTTAAAGCTTCGAAATCGCGCGGGACTAATAGAAGTCTATTCATCATCGCTGCCTATGCGCCCACAAACTGTAGCGATGATTCGGTAAAGAACGACTTCTACCGCCAACTGACCCAGCTCCTTCGCTACAGAAGAAGCACGGACACTGTTGTGCTGGCGGGGGATATGAACGCACAAGTTGGAAAGTTGTCCACTGATGAACTGCATCTGGGTGGTCAACACGGTATAGGCTCCCGTAATGATAACGGTGAGCGGTTACTTCATTTGTGTGAAGATGCTCGCTTATTTCTTGCGAGCACTAATTTCCGACACAGCACCCGCCGAAGGGTGACTTGGCGCCCACCAGCCTCGAACCAGCCTTGGACGCAGATCGATCACATTGCGATAAGTTACCGCTGGAGAGGCTGCATCCAGAATTGTCGCTCGATTTGGAGCACATGTGTGGACACCGATCATGCACTTGTATGTGCTGACATGCGGATGCGTTTTGGCGGACGCCCACGACGACGCTGTGAGCGTATTGACACCAGCCAACTGACAAAACCATCTGTTCTGAATGCGTATCGAAGTACGCTAACATGCGAGTTGAGCAAGCGCTCACAGGAGACAATTGATGGTCACTTGTCACATGTTCGCCAGACCTTACTAGCAGCAGGAAAATCCTCATGTGGTAATTCTAATAGACAACATGGACATTGGGTCTCTTCGCAGTCTTTGGAACTTATAGATGCTCGCCGGCAAATCCCGGCTGGAAGCGAGCACAATGAAACTCGCAAAGAGCTCCGGGCAAAACTCCGTGCTAGCCTGAAGAGAGACCGCGAATCTTGGTGGTCTCATCGTGCGTCAGAGATGGAAGTGGCCGCTGCCCTTGGCAACCATCGTAAGTTATTCCGTCTGATACGGGAAACGGGCAGCAGGAGACCTGGTGTTAGTGAAACTATACGTGACGAGAGTGGACAGCCTATCCACAATTTGTCAAAACGTCTGGAACGTTGGGCTGAGCATTTTGAAAAGCAATTTTATCGGCAAGAATTGTTCGATTCGCCGGTCACTGATCGCCCTGCTCCGTGGGCTGTCCCTTTGGATCCACCCTCTCGCTCAGAAGTCGGTGAGATCGGACTATTGAAGTTGAACAAAGCCGCGGGATCAGATGATCTTCCTCCAGCCCTCTTCAAATGTGAAGGCTCTGCTCCTGTTGATGCTTTGCATGAATTACTAGTGAAACCGTGGGAGCAGGAAACTGTCCCAACCGACTGGAGCCGCTCCGTTATTGTTCCCATCTTCAAAGGCGGCTCGCGCTCGGAATGCGGCAACCATAGAGGAATCAGTCTGATCTCCATCGCCTCCAAATTACTCGCGTCCATAATTCTCCACAGACTGACTGGCGCTCGTGAAAGCCAGATTCGTGAGGAGCAAGCCGGGTTTCGTCGGGGTCGTGGCTGCATCGACCACATCTTCACCTTGCGTCAGTTGTTGGAGCACCGTCAAATATATATTGGCGGCCCACCGTTGTCGTGTTCCTCGATATAATAGGTGCCTTCGATTCGGTTGATCGATGTGCCCTTTGGAATTGTCTACTCAGGAAAGGTGTGCCCGAGAAATATGTAAATATTATCCAAGCATTATATGCGCGTAGCACGGGCAGAGTAAGGGCTTACAGCAGGCTGTCGCCACCCTTCAATATCTCCAGCGGTGTGAGACAAGGATGCCCGCTGTCACCTTTCCTATTCAACTTCGCTATTGACGAAGTCATGCAGATTGCATTTACAGGACATGACTTGGAAGGTGTGGAGCTACTCCCAGGAGAACGACTTCTTGACTTAGAGTATGCAGACGACATTGCCCTCATCTGTGACAGCTCCCAGACGTGTCAATCCGCGCTGGACATATTAGCACTGGCTGTCAGTCGCTTCGGGCTTTGCTTTGCACCACCGAAGTGCAAAGCGTTCCTCCAGGATTGGCAGGGTTCGCCCCCTGTGCTGACCCATGGTGGGGATCAGCTAGAAGTCGTTCAGAAATTCAATTACCTGGGAAGTTGTATCAGCGCCCTTGGGATCGAAGACGAGATCACGAACCGCATAGCGAAAGCTCGAAGTGCTTTTGCTAACCTTCGCCACCTATGGCGACGGCGCGACATTATTCTCGCCCTGAAGGGTAGAGTGTACAATGCAGCGGTACGTTCGACCTTACTGTACGGTTGCGAAACCTGGCCCCTAAGATCGGCGGACATGAAGAGGCTACTTACGTTCGACCATCGGTGCCTTCGCAGTTTGGCTCACATCTGGTGGGAACACCGCGTGAGTAACGAGCGTGTTCGACGCCTTGTTTACGGCCTAGGAAAAGGGAATGAACCGCTCAGCACCGTTATTTCACTCACCAGGCTCCGATGGCTGGGCCACGTGTTGCGCATGCCAGCCCACCGACTCCCTCGACGTGCGTTGTTTGCTCACCGGGGATGTGGGTGGAAGAAGAGGAGAGGTGGCCAAGCGATGACTTGGTCCAGAGGAATGAAGGCCCTCACTTCGGAGCTGGCCTCAGTTGGAGCTTCACGGCTCCCTGGTTGGGGTCCAAAAGACGGTGAACACGTTTGGATGGATACACTTGCTGATATGGCAAGGAGCCGACCTCAGTGGCGTTCATGCTGTGAGTTTCTTTGTCCCACCCCATCCCTCTTAGCCTCCCCCTCCATCTACGATCTTATTTCGTAGAGTAAAACGTAATTAAATTTTTTGGTTTTGCCTAGTAGCCGGCTAGTAGCTTACCGGAACGATGCGTATCCGTTGCTGGTAGCTCAGCTGGCATTCAACTGTCGTATTTATTTTTTCTTTATGTATTGTATGTATGTATGTATTTCCTTTATGTATTGCGATACAATAGCGGAGGTGTTTTACCATCTCTAGCTGACATGTATAATGATGATGATGATGATGACTACTCCTATGGGTTGCCACCATATCACTTGACCTGATTGTGATTGGTAGTCTTTTCCACAGATAGATATCTGACCTGGATAGATATCTGACCTGGAAGAAATTAGAGGGTATGTTCGTTCTTGTCTTTGGTATCTTCAGTGCGATATCTTTATTGCGAAGCTCTCGAGTTGAGCTATCTTGTAGTTCGGGTGAGCAGCAGCTGGAAAAGCGGTAACAAGTTGTGCTGCAATCTTTGTGAGTTGTGGATTGAACTGGAAGTGGTTACAATGCTATCGATAATTCATAGCAGTGTGAACACCAGTTAGATGTTTGGTAAACGACCTCTGCAGGTGCTCCACAGCAATTCGATTACTCTTTCTTATTACCGTAAATCTTGCTGCAGTATTGGAGGATAGAGCGGGTGAGTAGCTTCAAATCTCAACTCTTGCATGGGTTGGGTAGATTTTGTT